ACGGGATCGTCGCTCAGAATATGGGGTAAGTCTCTCGTGGCTAGTAGAATAACACTGCAAACCACCATACACATATACACACACACACACCACACGCGCAAAATGCCAACCATGTCACGAAAAGACGCTCTTGAGGAGTTTATTCGATTGCCTGTGAGCAAGGAAATGATCTCGTATCTGGCTGTCAAGGCTGCCAACGTCATTAAATGTGAAAGCAACGCCGCCTTACCCCCAACTCCTCCGTCGACCCCACCAAATGGTGGTGTCGAGCCGGATTTTTCGGCTCTGAAGCCAACCCTGCCAACCCTCGAGGAGTTCATTACCTCGACAGTCGATAGATCCCGCGTTCAGGTACCTACTTTGATGTCAAGCTTGGTATACCTTCAACGACTGCAGAAGAGACTACCAGCAGTGGCAAAGGGAATGCGATGCACAGTCCACCGCATCTTCCTCGCGTCTCTGATACTTGCTGCCAAGAACTTAAACGATTCATCACCAAAGAACAAACATTGGGCCAGGTATAGCGTTGTCAAGGGATTTGATGGTTTTGGGTTTTCGTTGACGGAGGTGAACTTGATGGAAAAGCAGCTCCTGTTTTTGCTGGACTGGGATTTGAGGATCACCACTGAGGATCTTTACGAGCACCTTGACCCATTCCTTCAGCCCATTATCACGCAACACGAGAAGGAGATGGAGGAGAAGCTCGAAAAGGAGAGGGAATTCGAAAGACACCAATCGCTCATGGAACTACGGATGGAAATCAACAGCAAATCACGACCACTGCTCACATCGTCGATGTCATCTTCCTCCGCATATTATCTTCCTGTAGTCACATATGGTGGAGACACACCACCAAGTCAGCATTCTACTCCACCATCATCATCTGGTCGCTCGTCACGGGCTTCAGAACGGTCGGTAGATTCATACTACCCGCGTTCCAGCCGCTCTCAACGCCGCTCGATTACCCTCTCCGATTACTCTTACCCAACCCCTCCTTCTACTGCACCGTCCTCCACAATTATACCCGGCCTAGTACGAAGCGGCACAGCATCGAGCATTGCTTCTTCCGAGGCCTCATCACCGAATACACCTTCGGTCGTAATGATGAGAAATTTACTGCCTGTAGATTCCTGCAAAAAGAAATCTGGCACAACAGCTAGCATTCTCACCCGTTTCTTGCACGGAGGCTCATCACACGAAAAGAGTGTATCGATGTCACGGTCGTCTTCGTCACGGTCATATCAACAGCATCTTTAACGCGACCTTTTCTTATCATAGCCCTTTCCTTGGTTTTTCCGTTCTATACTAGTTTTCACCTCTTTTTCCTTTTCTTCTCGGAACGGACGTAGAGTCTGATAATACTTAGTACAATTTCCTCCTAGTTTCCTTTCTTCGTTTTGTTTTGCTTGGGGGGTATGTCTGATATCGGATACGGTGGGGGCTGGTGTGGTGGCGTGGGTTATTCCGGTATGCGGGGTTTGGCAGATTAAGGTTTGCAAAACTATCTCGGGGGTTTTCCTTTCCTTTTTTCCTTGGGTCACGGGTTTCTGTTTTTCGTTTATTTGCATCTGCTTGGCCCGAACCCGGTTTTGCACGGTTGGCGAAAAAAAAAATAGGGCTGAGGGGGTGAGGTTTATGGGGGTTGGTTTCTCATCGTCACTTTTATGGGAAAGGTTAGGTAGGGTGTTATGGGTTTTGTCTATTATTGGGTTTAACAGGCGGGGTGGGTGTCAGTACATACTTTTGGTTTTTTTTCCCGCGATATCCTCTTTTTCTCCCTCTTTAACTTTTTGCATCGCATGAGTATCTGCTTTTATGTTCATTTTCCTTTATGGGGTTTTTTCTCGGGAGACCGGTGGTGCGGTGTAATGTTTCTTCAAAAAAGCGATTCTTTGAAGTATGTATTTTGACTTTTTTTTCTTCGTTATCTTTGTCTGTTGTATACTATATACTATATATTACATTACAAAGGGGCTATCATCTATCGTCGTCACTATCCTCGTCGTCGCTACCGTTCTCGGTCCCGAATACCGGTAAGGTTTCATACAATACAAGATTAGGATAATAGTAACTTTGTGTTGAGGTGGCTGTGCTCTCGAATTCGCGTGTCAGGTCAGTAACTCTTTTTTTTTCTTTTCCTCTTTTTAATACTTGACTTGCTCATATCATACTTGTATGTGTTTGACCCTGAGAAAGTGGCACAGGATAAGCATCGCCTCAAACACATGGTACCCGTACAGTACCGCACGAACACATGCTCACTCTCACAATTGCCTACGGAGGATATCAGTGTCATAGGCGTGGAAGGCCAACGAAACCCGGCTCGATTCAGCCCGTGTATTCCATTATTATATCTTGCCCGTCGTTCGTCCTCGTTCTTCTCCCCGATGTGGGGGCAGGTTCCCCGGGCATTACTTGCACGAGTACTGTACTCGTACTTGTATGGCACGGTACGGTATCGATGCCGGGAGAGTGTACCGGTACTTCGTACGGCATTGTCGGTGCAACTCCAGGTGGGTCGAATGAACGAATCGCCAATGCTGTACGTAACCCACTGTTCCCCATCCACCTGAGAATATCCATCACACGATATCCATACTACGGTAAGGGAGGGAGGTTCGAGGTCCTCGACCGGCGCGCACACTAACAGGGCACGCACAGCTGTACTTTTTTCATGTATTGATTATTATGCCTTCTCGGGCATCATACAATAGGTACCCGTACACACCGACATCAGCTAAAGAAAACAGAGGCTGAAAGTCCCCTCTCCTTTTTTTGTGAAGAAGGTACTCGAGTACTGTATACCGGGCACCAGTTATCATACTGTACCGAGAAACTCTCTTACCGTAGCATCAGTAATATACATGAAACTGGACCTCCTCCCCGCTTCGGTATTAATTCCTTGTTACAAGTAGCACACCCTTCCTCCCCTCGAAGCAGGGCCTCGAAGCAGGGCACCGCGATGGTACAGTACGAGTACCTGTATCTGTATCTGTACTCTACTACGGTATCCATCCTGCCCCCATCCCCACGATAGCATAGCAACAGCAACAACAACAGCAACAGTACATAGTATTAATACAGTAGGGTACGGTGCACTCCACCCCACCCCACCCCACCCGACCCCCGAAACGACCCACCCCGGCAAAATTTGAAACATAACGGTCTTCAACCCTAACTTATCTCACACCACCACGAAACAAGGCCCTTTTTTTTTATTTCTATTCCCCCCTTTCGCCGATAACAGCTATGATGACCATGATAATTTATTTGCACTTTGAAAGTTCTCATTTGTGTTATCTGTACCAATTTACCCTGTGGGGCAATAATAATAATAATAATAATAATAATAATAATAATAATAATAATAATAATAATAATAATAATAATAATAATAATAATAATAATAATAATAATAATAATAATAATAATAATAATAATAATAATAATAATAATAATAATAATAATAATAATAATAATAATAATAATAATAGAATTTACGGTACATATAATTAACACTTGTAGTATCACAGGTATGCATACCGTAGTGAGATTCGCATGATCACTGTCTTACCCTAATTGTTAAACTAAATTGTAATCGTGCTCGCAGGTATGAGGAGTAGGTAGGCGTGGTGGTGGCTTATCTGTTTTCTTTTTTTTTTTTTTTACACTCTAATTCGGAATTGGAGTGGTACCGGTAAACCACCGTACTGTACTGTACAGTACTCGTACAGTACAGTATATTATTATTATCATCGTTGGTGGAAGAATATTATAGAATGGAACAATGGAAATACTGGTGCGCCTTTGAGTTTTTTATTATTATTCCCCTTTTTCTTTCTTATAATATTATGATATGCGGAGGAGTTTGTCACTATGTATATCTTACCCGGGCTGGGTTTCCTGTTTCGTTCTTTCTTTCTGGTGGGCTGCTTTTACACGATGCTGATTTACTTATCATAATTGCTGTCATATCATAACCGGTAACTGAACTGACTTTCATCCACCCCCCCGCTCCACTTGCTTGTCTGGTGGTTGTGGGGAGGGGTGGAGTTTTGTTTTGTATTCTTGACTGGTGAGGTAAGGTGAGGTGTGGTGGTACGTAAAAAGGGTTTCTTTTCTTCCGAAGAATCGCTGCGGAAGGTGAACGGGGAAGGATAGAGTATCGGTAGTCATGATCGGAAAAGATCTGTATTCTTTTTTTTTTTTGGGGGGGGGAGGGGGGGGAGGAGGGGGAGTTTCTTTGTTTTTTTTTGTTTTTTTTGCTTGTGCTGATATTAATTCCATCCTTCCTCTTTGTCTCTCTATATTTGCCCTTCGAGGCTTAAAAGGCGGGGTTTTGATTTTCTCTCATCTATTACAATGTCGGTACAGTACGAGTACAGTACACACACCTACTCCATTACCATATCGATATCAAAAAATACCCCCTCCCACCAACCCACCGACGATCAAAAAAAAAAAACTCTCCCGAAAACAAGAACAAACAAACCATCGCCACCACCAGTCCGTAGAACCCCGTGGTTGTACGAGTACCGTCGCGATCCATCACTCACTCAGGAACGTGAAGCCCCACCCTCCTAGCACTCATCCTGACCCGATCATCGTCGCCGCCACCACTTCCCTCGCCCAACGAGGGATTGTACCGTTCCAGAAGCGCAGAGTAGGTGCGCTGTGCGCGGAGGTAAGTTGTCAGCTGTGCCAACAATAACATTCCACCATCCCCTTCCCCCTTACCAGAGATGGATCCTCGAAGGCGGTGGTGCAGGTGTGTGCGCTTCTGTGAGATTGGCGGTAGCTCGCGGAGGAGGCTTCTATAAAGGGTCTTTGTCGTTGTCGTCGTTGTGGCCATTGGTGGTGGTGGGTTGGTTGTAGTCTAGGGGTTGGGGAGAGAGAGAAAGAAAGTGGATAGAGGATGAAGCGCGGATCTTTTTTCTTTTTTCTTGTTTCTTTTCTTGATCGTGATTGGCTGATTGATTTGTGCCGAGATCTGCGATTGCGGGAGTTTGCCTTTTGTATTATACAAGTGCTCGTACTGTACTCGAGTATGATGCTCGAGTACTCGTATTTGTATGGTGTCGAAGGAGGTAGAGGCTAGGCTAGGCTTTTTGGTTTTGGTGCACTGATGGAGGGGGGGAGGTTGTTGCTATGATGGCTAGTGTGCGACCTCCGATTTAGACTTTTTGGCTGGTATCGGTGCTCTGTGATATGTATCCCTTGGACGGATGACACGGTCAAACTTGTAGCCGCGCTAATGTATGCCAAGAAGTGGTGATAGTAACGTGAATGAGAAATGATCGACTATAAATTTCTCAAACAACAATTCCTGATTCTATATGATAATCTGAAAAACATTTTGGGCATAAATGATGAAGACAGTAGGAGCAAGAAAATGAAGACAAAAGTGCCCGCTTGCCTTTCCTTTCCTCCGCCCTTAGCCGTAAGCGGCATCGAGCACATTCCTTTTTTTTTTCCTTTTTGACTCGGATATGGCAGCCCGGAGGACCATGAAGTGCTGGAGGAAGATCCTTGACTCCATAGATTTTGCTGTAAATTACTGTGTTAGTCTTTCTTGTATACCATCTCTGATGGCCATTTGGCCTAGTATATAGCTGAAAAATATTTCCAGCAAGATTTAGGCGGAAATCTTTATGACCGGTGTTCTCTTCCATCCTGATTGAACAAAAAATAAGAAGAGAGTTTACCACAGAAATATCAAGAAGCCAGAAAAAATAAGGAAGCCAATTCCGCCGTGCAATCAACTGTGTAAAAAATAACAACGATATTGATCTGCAATGTCTACACCCCCTTTATGGAGATTGTAGTCGTCAATCATGTGAGGGATAGGGGCAGACATAGTATGCTGATCTCTAAACACAGGACATATTAATGGTCCATTTGTGCTTGTTAGTCGAGAACGCTTCCTATTTCTCATAACCTGGTCATGCAAATCATGAGCTGTAGTTAGCATATGAACCTGACTATTATCCTGCCATTTTGCAGCTAGTACTGCCCCATTAGTTCCCATTACTTGTCCTCCAAAAACAGAATTCCATGGCATAGGCTCTGGGCTTATGCAATAATCAGGGTATCTTTCTTTTTGTACTCGTGAAGTGCCACAAG